AAAAAAAAAAAAAACTTATTTTTTCGTTTTAATTTCACTTTTCCTTTTTTGTCTACAAACTGCAAACATGCCAATAATCTAACCGAAAAAGTATCCTTATGGGAATATAAGTATAAAAAAATGTGAAAAATTAGTTAATCTAACGAAAAAAAATTTCATCCTAACAATCGATAATTTCTATCTTCGAGGAGATAAATTTTATAAAAGTTCCTGCTGCGTTCATTTAAACAAGAATATTGCCATTTTTCTCAACTGGGAAAATTTATCTAAGATGATACAATGGCGTTTTTTTTTTATTTTATTAGCAAGAGTATGAAAAGAGAGAAAGAGAGAGAGAGAGAGAGAGAGAGAGAGAGAGAGAGAGAGAGAGAGAGAGAAAAGATGAAGAAAAATAATAACAATATCAGTTGAAAATTGATGAAATATTAGCCGACGAAGTTAAGCCAATCTTTTAACCACCTGCTATCTCGACACCCCACTGTTATACTTGTTTATTAATAAACATAAATATTAAAACATAGCAATGATTAAAGATTTTCAAAACATTTTACAAGGTTTCATTAAAGTTACTGACAATAATTATTTTATATTTTATCGTCTTCGATATATAACAAAAAATATATGTTTTTTTTAATAATTTAAAAATTGTAAACGTCATTATTGACAAATATATCTATATATATATATATATAATTTACTGTTATATTTGAATATTATTTAAGAAGTTGTAACACATTTTTAAAATAAAATGTTCTACAAAGATATATTATTAATCTAAATAACAATCAAAATTATTGAATGTAGAAATTAATTCGGTGTCTCGAATAAATAATAAAATTAGTTTATAACAAAGGTAAAGATAATTATTATAAATTTTGAAAAAGTGAAATAATTTCAATATGAAATATTTATAACAGATATTATTTAAGAGTAATCGTGTCGATAAATTTTCTCTTCTGTTGATTTATATGGTTTTTTATTTTTCTCGTTTTTTCTGGATCCGTTTCTTTTACTGGTTTATGCACGTTGACACACATCACAAAGAAAAGTTCGGACTCCCGTTTATTATCGGTAACGATCTAAGCAAACAGATATTATTTCTTAGTTTGATCTTTAAAACTGTATTAATTTCACTCAATTATTACACATTCTAAATATAGTAATATAATATATTTAAATTATATTATTGTATAATTATATAATATAATATAAATAGAGAATATATATAATATAAATATATATATATATATATACAGATCCTTTGTTCTTCAACGAACCTGCTAGTTTCTTATTACAAAAGAAAATAATATTAACACAATAAATTAATATAATAATTTAAAGTGAAAATATAATTCCTAATGTATAAATTTAACAGATTATCTTTTAAATATATCTATAGAGTCGAATTATAATTGTCAGAATTCTAAGGAAGAAGTTATGAATTATGAATTTTTCTGACTTCAAAACGATACCTCTGCAATTCAACGAAGTGAGAAATGAAAGCAGAAAGAAGAACGAACTTCTCTTGTGGATTAGCTTTGTTCGGGTTCTCTTTCTAACGTCTTTTTCGATTTCCTTAGTAAGAAATGCGTGAAGCAACCTTCTTCTCGAAATTTCAGAAACTTATACGGCACTTATTTATTTCGTCGTTTTATCGCTAAACAAACAATAAGCAATTTCTTTATTTTTTACAAATACCGATCTATAATACACGTACTATTGAAAAGAAAAATATTTATAACTACTTTTTACACATTAAATCGTAAAAACATTCCATTCAATGGCGGTACATTTAAACATTTTTGTCAATTCAATGATTTAAGGCAATTCATTTATTTGTATTTTTTTTGTGTTTTTCTGAATGAATAAATAATCAATAAGATTTATTTTACAATTATTAAGTGAATCTCTTGCTACTAGTTTATTAATAGTTTTTGTTACGATTGATTAATATTTAAATCAATGTTGTATAATAATTCATTTCTACGTACATTATTATTGATTGATTTTTGTTAAAAGTTTCGAAAGAAATTTAGTGTAAAGTTGATCTCGTTGTTGTTGAAAGTTTTAGTAATTTGATTTGCAATGTAATTTAATATATGAATAGAATTAAAATCATTATAGTCTGACTTGTAGGATTACTAACATCTTGTTCCAACGATCCTGACAAAAGATTCGATACAATTGTAATATAAGACAACTGTGTAATATCCTTATCTAAACGTATTCTAACAAACGTCTATCGTTCTCGTGTTCCCTTCATTAATTTTCAAAGGGATTCCTGAAGAGTCTTTATTACGCTTTCTTATTGTAGTAAAAACAACACTCGAAAGACTTCTTCAACGTTCGATATAACTTTTTTTGTGATTTTTCTTTCCCTCGTCTCTTAATCATAGAAAAAACTTCGAAAAACTTTTCGGAAGAAATTAAACATTAACAAAATACAATAACGTTTGTCTATTATATATATATATATATATATATATATATGTATACGTTAATTTCGTAATTAATGTTTCAAATTATTGATCAAGAATTTCATATATAAACTACGATAAAATAATTTCATTTGAATTCACTAATAAATCGAAACAAAACGTTCGATTTATTGTAGGTTCAAAGTTATGCTCTTGTATTTTAACAATCCGAACAAAAAAGTAGTGGAAGTAATAATATAAATAATTAATTTTGAAGAAAAAGAAAAAGACACCTATAATATAAGGATAAAAGAGTAAACAAAAAAGCAGTGTTAGCGTTGAAAGTATGTGTCCATGTTAATTCTTTCTTTCGTCATGTTGTATGATGAGTATGAATGCATGAGAATTAATTGAAGGATAAAAGAGATCGTTTCCCTAGAAGGGAACGATGATCTCGGCTGTCGATCCGACAGGTTATTATTCGATTCTTGATAGGAAAGTAATTTTTTTGTTTTAAATTTCTTTTATCTATATAGGTTTAAAAATATTTTTTTTACATTTATTAATATTTATTAAATATTTTTATTTTGAAATAATTTAAATTCATATTGAATTAATTATGGTTAATCCATCCTCTTCACGAAAACCGAGAATATTCTCTAAGATTTAAGATGTAAAAGAGGAAACCACGTGCAGTAAAGAACACATCCAGCTCGAAGGACCAAAATGGTGAAACGTGGGAAAATTTGCTGTTCGTGTGTACAATACTTAACGCAACGGGAAACGAAGACGAAGTGATCTGTTTGACGATCGCATCGTTCCTCGTAGCCGTAAATAGCGGTGGTGTCTATTCCTAATAATCAGTGCCGTGTATAAAGCAGGGCCCTATACTTAATGTGATTAAAATTTTAAAAATTAAACTTTTTGCATGAAATATTTAATGATTAAATTATATATAATTGTTATTTATTACTGTTAAGGTTGTGTATACATTTTTATTGTGTTTACTGGTTAAAAAATAA